CTAAATAAACCCCCAGCTGAGCAGATTAGGGAGGGAGGGACGGAGCCAGCGAGGGCTGAGGCCAGCCAGCCAGCCAGCGAAGAGGTGTGGGGGGTGGGTTTGAGGTGATATGTTTGACAGTTTGGTAAGGTCTCTGCGTGTTTATTTAATAGTCCAGTACCTTGGAGAATATAATTAACATTGCTGGGATTCTTGTAAGACACTGATTAATTTGAATATCAACATGCTGTAATTTGCACTCGACATAACAATTCCCAAAAAATACAGTTGAAAACTTTATATGATTAAATGTACACTAATGTACTACAATTTTTATCTCTTGAGCAAAATCTATGACGTTTATATTCAAATTATTGGCTGTCTTGCAAGGATTCCAGCAATATAAATTATAATCTCCTAATTTTAGTCTTGAGATATTATATAAGATAAATATTGTAAGCCTAAAACCCTGGCTGGGAGGGACAGAGACAGCCAGCCAGCGAGGGGTGGGAGGGTTGAGGTTATATGTTTGACAGTTTGAGCCGAAGGTCTCTGTGTGTTTATTTATTTGAGATATGATGTGACAGTTGGCGCTGAAGGCCTGCGTGTTTATTTATCATTCCTTAAGAGTGACTAAGCTCTTCTCATAATTTGCCACCCAAACGACCTGGGTGAATATAACTTACATTGGTGGGATTCTTGGAAGATAGTGATTTATTTGAATACCTGTATAAACAAGCTATACTTGCAATAGACATAACAATTTTAGTACCGTAATCATTTAGTACATGTACAGTACAGGTTTGTTCCATTGTTAACCGAGGGACCACTGTATTGCACTGTACTTGTACTGTACAATATTGACTAAATTCACTAGATAACGTACACAACTAATGGTTGGTAAAACTTGTCAAGTAAGTGAGTGTCAAGTCTGTCAGTGTGAGTGGCACGTGTGAGTGCTTGTGTCCCCCATCATAGGAGTCCGTTTTCTCTCGCTTCAGGACGCCGAGTCCTCCATTTTCTCTCTTAATATTAGAGTGCACCAGAGACTTCGCTATTTCTTAGTAATGACACAGAATTTGAAATTGCAACCCCAATTGCAATTGGGGTTGCAATTGTTGAGGCAACTAGATATCTTTGATTACAGCAAATGTGTTATTGTCAATTTGTAGGTGAAAAATTTTATCCTCAATAGATGTAGGTTAACATTACACCTGGAGGCAAATGCTTAAAAAAAGCCTAAGGAAGGAAGCATATTCCATTAACACATAATATCTGGCCAATATGGGGAGGATCATCATGTCTCCATCAGGGGGTCGTGGAGTGGTGGTCCAACAGGCATCATGGAAGTTTTTTGGGGGGGGGGCACGGACGTATATGCGATCAGACGTTGTTCGGTCGGACGTTAACCGACGCATGACTGTGTGTGTGTGTGTGTGTATATATGTATGTATATATATATATATATATACATATATATATGTGTATATATATATATATATATATATATATATATATATATATATATATATATATATATATATATATATATATATATATATATATATATATATATATATGCATATATATATACAGTCATAGGATTGTGGGCCGTGGGTTCGAATCCTGGCGGGTTGAGGTGTTGATTGTATGTAGAAGTCCGCGTGCTTTATTGGGCTAATGAAATATATACATATATACATATACAGTCAACCCTCACTTTACGCGGTTAATGTAACCCACAGGGTCGCGGAAAGTGAGAAACGCGTAAAGTGAATAACATAACATATGGGATTAAATGAAATAGAGACCAGCTGACCCGCAAACTCCACTTTTTCCAACACAATACCTATGTTCTAGTAAAAATAACATCTTAATTTTATGATGGTACATGCACACAATTAATACTTAAGAGAAATAGAGAAATACAGTCGCCAAGTTAATGTCCATTCAAATAATGGACTCAACTCCCTCCCCCTCTTCTCACACTACACTCCCTGGCTCTTCCCTCTCTGAGAAATTTTTGGGGGAAAACCAGGTATAGTAATAAATAATACCTCAAACTAAAGTTAGGATAATATAATTGACATTGCTGGATTCCTTGTAAGACCAGGAATATTTTGAATATAAATGTCATACATTTTTCACAAAAGATAACATATTTACTCAGATTAAACATTTTATCTAAAATTTGTATGTCTAATGCAAAATATATGATGTTTATATTCAAAATGATCAACAAATTGTAAGAATTCCAGCAATGTAAATTATATTCTGGCCGGGTAATTTGCATGAATTTTATGAGCTAAAACAAATATCTTCAGTTAATAAAAAAAAAATATTCTTCACGACACTATCTGTCAATCAAAGTACCCCACCTTGCCTTCCCCCCCTCTTCCAACCGCACGGTCAGTCCCAACCCTCCCCCACCCCCCACCAATCCTCCCTTCAAGAGAAAGGTTGGGTGAAAAAAATAAATTTTAACATTTTGTATTAAATAATACCTCAGATTAAAGTTAGGATAATATAATTGACATTGCTGGATTCCTTGTAAGACCAGGAATATTTTGAATATAAACATCATATATTTTGCCCAAAAGATAACATACTTACTCAGAGTGAACATTTTATCTAAAAATTTTGTCTAATGCAAAATATATGTTGTTTATATTCAAAATGATCATCAAATTGTAAGAATTCCAGCAATGTAAATTATATTTTGGCCGGGTAATTTGTATGAATTTTATGAGCTAAAATAAAAATCTTCAGTTAATAGAAAAAAAAATATTCTTCACACGGTAACAGATGGTCGGTCGACGGTCCCCCCCTCCCTCCCCCCCACCCCCCACCAACGTCCCTACTAGATAAATGTGTGGGAATACCAGACTGTTTACCTTTTTAGTAATAAATAATAAATCAGAATAAAGTTAGGATAATATAATTGACATTGCTGGATTCCTTGTAAGACCAGGAATATTTTGAATATAAATATCATATATTTTGCAAAAAGATAACATATTTACTCAAGAGTAAACATTATATCTAAAATTTGTATGTCTAATGCAAAATCTATGATGTTTATATTCAAAATGATCATCAAATTGTAAGAATTCCAGCAATGTAAATTATATTCTGGCCGGATAATTTGTATGAATTTTATGAGCTAAATAAAAAAATTATACTTCACCGTGTAAAGGGGTACACCCACCGCGGAATGTGAGCATCCTGGGTTCTGGCAGGGCACCGCGTAAACGTGGAAACGCGGAATGTGGGACCGCGTAAAGTGAGGGTTGACTGTGTGTGTGTATGTATATAATATATATATATATATATATATATATATATATTTTATATATATATATATATATATATATATATATATATATATATATTATATATATATATATATATATATATATATATATATATATATATATATATATATATATATATATATATATATATATATATATATATATATATACAATAATATACAGTACCTTGAAAATTACCATGCGTCTTCCACGACGCTAGTTGATGGGTTGTAGCAGAGGTTTTCTTTGGGTCAACTGAAATCAGCCCCTTACAAAGACTGTTACCTCATTACAGTACTTAGCAATTACAAGTATTCTCTATACAGTACTATAATACAATTGATTTAACTAATATTGTTGATATTCTGCGAAAGCTACACAACCCTTGCTGCTATGCGGTTTGCTTACTAATGGCAGTGGTGCGGCAGCGCCATTTATTGAGGAATTGCGAAAGGTTGTCTGCTGGTCTAGCACAGGAATTTTTGTTTCTTCACACCAAAAATTTTAATTCAACTGATTTTTACCGAGTTGCTTTCTTACTTTTACTTCTTTTTTTTTAAATAAAGTTTTTTGTTTTCTTTAGACGTTGATATAAATGTTTACAATTGCTTACCTTCTACTGTTGGAAAATATTTCCCGTTGTTGTCATGCCGACAAAAACAAGAGAAAGAATGTAAACACTACAACCCGCTAGATGCGGAGGTGACCAGGTGTAGAAAATGAGTGCTGTATTAAAGATTTCACCTTCTTACACAGATTTGTTTTTTTTTTAAATTGATGAAAATGACGACTGATAAGCAGTTCTAAATGTTGATATTCAAAAAGGTGTGTGTACCTGTGCCAAAAGGGCTGTATATCAAGCAACGGTTTCACTGGTGTAGGTTCATAAGTATAAATTTTTTTTCCTAGAATTACACTTCCCAAATCAGGGTGCGTCTTCCACGATGCAGCGTTTTCTACTCCTCAAAATATGGTATATACTGCATAATATTTGATCTAGTAGTAGTCTAATGTGCTTATCCTTTCGATATTGGTCACATATCTATAGCTCTTATGCGAGGAAGTACTGTTTTTAAGTGTTTAGAAGTACACCTGTTATCAAAGTCTTTCTACAATATTCATAAGTCATAAAATGTAAGCTGTTCTGAAGGAGAGATTAATTATATGAGGATATATTCGGTTTTGTATATGTATTATTAATGCAAAATAAAGTTGATTGCTTGATTGATATAGATATATAGCTTACTATAACTTCATGTGTGGAGTGTGGTGTGGTGGCGTGGATGAAGAGAAATGCACTACGGTGGTATGGACATGTGCCGAGGATGCATGAAGACAGGCTGACAAAAAAAGTTTATGATAGCAAGAGAGAGGGGAATGTTGGGAGGGGTAGACCAATTGCCACCTGGGAGAAAAGAGTTAGAGAGTTTGTTGAAGAGAGAGCAGGAAGGGGAGGAAGAGTGTTTGAGAGAGCAAGTGAAATTGAGATGTGCAAGGATAAAATTACCTGGAGACATTTCTGCCATTTGCCACCCCTTGTTCGGGAGTTCCCGGGAGGAAACAAGGCATTGGCGATATTGATTGATTGATCAAAACAGAGGTGCTGGAGCGACTCTCCGGTGAGCTCCGGCAGCACTGCACCCCTGGCTAAGTTTAAAAGTTTGCAGGAAATGAAATCCAAAGTAATTTCTTTTCTTTATTTTACAGGTTTTTGAAAATGATGTGGAGTTATCTAGACATGTGGAGGAACATGGCCTCTGTCTTCCACTCCCAGCTAAACCTTACAAGTGTGACTTCTGTTATAAAGTAAATATTTTTGTTTTATAGTTAATAAGTACAGTGACCCCTCGGTTAACGAACTCAATCCGTTCCAGAAGGTCGTTCGTTAACCGAAAAGTTCGTTAACCGAAACCATTCTTTCAATGGGTTTTTGGGTAATTGGTTCCAGCTCACCGAAAATTGCCTAAATTCAACAAAAATGGTAGAAAAGTTCACTTACTTTGAGGTGTGTATGTAGAAGGCTCCTGGATGATGATGATGATGATGGGAATTAGAATGGGGGTGGAGGAGAAGGAAGAAGAGAAGGCATTGGGGTTGAAGAGAAGTCACCCCATGGCACCATTTCACCCATAAAATTTTAGTTCTCTTGGTGTATTTCAAGATTATTTTCTTTAAATCAACACTGCACTGCATTATATATTGTCAATATGTAAAATATATTTCAAAATGACCAATAATTTGCTTGGAAACAGAAAAAAAGCATTTAGTTGAAGAGAGTCTCAAGCAAGATGTTACCTCCAGTGAAAACAGAGAGAGACTAACGCCTGTTTGCTGTGTTAAGAGGCTGGATGTCGCGCATTAAACTTGTCACTTTACCTTCAATTATGTTCAATAACTGTTAAAATGACTAAAAAATTGAAGATTAAACTTTTAAAATTATTGAATAGTATAAACTTCTTGATATTTACTAAAATAGTAAGGAATTTAAGCCCTAGAACCGATTAAGGTATTGGCGGACTGACACTAAAGCTGGTTGCCCGGTCAGTGCAAGCGAAAACATGTTGAGGTTGGTTCGTAAGAAATTCGTTAACCGAATTGAAGATCCTTATGGAAGGCAGTTCGTTAACCGAAATTTTGTTAACTGAGGCGTTCTTTAAACGAGGGGTCACTGTAATGGAATACCATAGTATGTACGGGGTGTCTCACAAGTTGTGCACCATAGGAAAATGAATGTTCTCATTCTTTTGTTTTTTCAGATAAGGAAATCATACAAAAATCAATGAATATGGTAGAAAAACTAACATTAGAGGAAAGAGTCCATTTAATATTAATTAACAGTAAATTTACCTGTAATTGTGTACTGTAATAAGGACTGCAATAGCTGATGTTATGTAATAAGAAACTTGTTACCACATAACTAATTTCATTGGGAAGGATAAAAATACAAGTACAGGTATCCCTCGCTTTGTGAATGGGTTATACTGTATTCCTTGAAAACCATTCCTTTAGTGGATTTTGTATCTCCAATAACATAACATATGGGAAAAATTGGGTTTGGTTCCCCAATGACAAGAAAACCCCAATATCATCCCTAAAACCATTATGGTAGTAGGCAACTACCACCTGGGAAAATATTGGAAGCATAATGTGTTGTCTAATGGTAGACCCTGCTGCCATATGGCATCACGAAAATTGTGACCAAGTCCCAGGTTGCTGACCTGACTTTCTGCCTCATTTGCACACAATTGCAGGGTCTCAATTGTCTCTCTTACTATTGACAACACAACATATATAACCTTTCTCACTCTTGATCTGTTCTTTTCTTTCTATTCTTTTATTATCCTATGATATCAGTTGACAATAATATTAAAGTGGGCCTTCTGATGGGTCCCACTGGTCGGGAAGGTTGTGGACCCCAGGGCCGACCTGATCATCATCAAACTACTGGGACCTCAACTGACATCACTGTGGTTGCTGGAGGATCGTTTTTTTTCACACTTCATTTTTCCAAAATTTGCGGCCTGAGATTAAATTTTCCTTCTGTGGAGAACCATCTGTTAACCTCTTCCCCCGGCCTTTTACTCCTATCTGAACCTCAAATGACCAAAACAGCTTCACCCAAACCTTTTCAAGTCTCCAACTACAACCTTTATAATTATGCGCCTACTGCAAAAACATGTACACCTATAGCTCGACTCACAGATCTTGAATCTTTTCCTTATGATGTCATCTGGCTCAAAATATCTCTACCAACATTGACTATTTTTCTGTTTCCTATACTTTTCTCCCAACTCAACCAACTATTTAGATCTATTTAACTATCTCACTTCTTGCCATGAGTCGTTGCTATCCACACACCCCAACACCGAGATCCTCTACCTAGGGGATTTCAATGAACATCACAGAGAGTTGCTTGGCTCTGCAAGGGATGACCCAGGTGGAGCTGAGGCACTCTCTTTTTCCTTACTTAATGATCTGGAACAAATAATTAAACACCCTACGCGCGTTCCTGATCGACACGATCAACTTACTAACATTCTTGATCTTTGTTTTACCTCTAACCCCTCACACTATTCATACTCAATTTCTGCCTCCTTGGGGTCTTTTCATTCCAATCTTATTTCTATTAAATCAATCTAGGCATGACCACCTCCCCCACCTCCCCTTTAAATGCCAACTATGGCACTATCGAAGGGCAAACTGGCAATCCTTGCGAGAATTCTTCTCTGACTTTCCTTGGAGTGAATGTTTCTTTGCCACTCGGGACGCCTCGGTATGTGCTGACAGCATTGCTGGGGCTATACAGGGTGGTATGGGTGCATTTATTCCATCTTCTACCCAAACTTTCACTTTACAATCATGGTTTGATCGCTCCTGTTCTCTTGCATGCAGGGTGAGAGATAGGGCATATCAAGTTATGAAACTATCTCCTCTTATTGCCCACTCCGCTTTCATTACTTCTTGGAATCGTTGTAAGGCTATTCTTTGTAGGGCCAAGTGGAATTTTATAAAAACAAAGACCGCTGTCCTGACTAACTCTTCTTCTCGTAAATCCTTCTGGTCCTTAACCAAAAACATCTGTAATATTTTCTGCACTCCTTCTTTTCCTCCTCTCTTCCGACTTGATAACTCTATAGCCAACTCTCCCCTCTGATAAAGCCAATCTCTTTGGCACCTTATTCTCCTCTAACTCCACCTTAGTTGATTCTAACTCTATCTCTCCTACTCCTTCTCCTCCTACTTAACCTAGGCACTTTCCAATAATCTCCGCTCATAGGATTGCTGGTGTGTTATCCAGGTTGGATGTGAGTAAGGCACATGGACTGGATGGAATACCCCCTCGTGTTCTGAGGGAGTGTGCTGAAGTTCTGGCCCATGTGCTTGCTCGCCTCTTTTGCCTTTGCCTCAAAACCCAAACTTTTCCTTCTTCTTGGAAACATGCTTCGGTTCAGCCTATCCCGAAGAAGGGTGACCATTCCAATCCCTCTAACAATCGCCCCATTGCCCTAACTTCACCCCTCTCTAAGATTTTCAAAATTATTTTAAACTCATTTATCCCCGTCACCTTGAACGCTTTTCTCTTTTGTCAGATCACCAGTATGGCTTTCGCCAGTTGATATATACTGGTGAGCTGCTCTCCTATTGCACCCATCTTTGGTCATCCTCTCTTGGGATTATGGTGAAACTTTTGTCGTGGCCCTCAACATCTCCAAAGTATTTGACAGGGTATGGCACAAGTCTTTGCTTTCTAAACTTCTCTCTTATGGTTTCTCTCTCCCACTTTGTTCTTTAATTTCTAGCTTCCTTGAGAATCAATCCATGGCAGTTGTTGTCGAGGGATCGATCTCTTGCTCTTTATCTACCAATAGTGGTGCCCCACAGGGTTCTGTTCTTTCACCTACTCTCTTCCTTCTTTTTGTCAATGATTTACTTCATGCTATGATTAATTCTATCCATTCTTACGCTGAAGTTTCTACTCTTCACTCTTCTTCACATTTTCCCCTTCCCCCTAATTCTCAAACTAGATCTGTTTCTAGAGCTGATAATCATTACATCTATCAATGCAGATCTGTGCATCATCTTCGAATAGGAGATAGAAACTTGGTTAAATTCAATAGGAATAAAACTCAGTATTTGCCAATTTCACTTTCCAAATTAGATGATCTCCCACCAATCACATTTCAGGATGCAATAATTCTGCCAAATTTTAAAATAGATATGCTTGGCCTCACCATTTCCTCTAATATGTCATGGAAGCCACACATCATCAACATTGCTATAGCTGCCTCCCAAAAACTGGGAATGCTGTACAGATGCCGTAGCTACTTCACTCCTGAGCAGTTGCTTCAAGTATATTAGGGATTTATTCGTCCTAACTTGGATTACTGCTCTCATATCTGGGGTGGTTCTTCTTCTGTCCAACTGTTAGATTGAGTGGAATCAAAGCCATTTTGTCTTTTTAACTCTCCTCCTTTAGTGTATAATCTTTCTTCCCTTTCTCTTTGCTGCAATGTTGCTTCACTCTATCTCTTTTACAGGTACTGTAATGGGCAATGTTCGGTGGATTAGGCATCCTGTGTACCGCCGGCAAGGCCGTGGGCTCGTAACACTCATCTTGCCCGCGGTGCCCACCGTTTCTCTGTGGCTGTCGGTCACACTAGAATAACCCGTTATAGTACATCTTTCTTTCCTCACACAGCCAAACTGTGGAATGCTCTGCCTTCTTCTGTGTTTCCGTAGTCTTACAATCTGTCTCGCTGTAAAAAGCTGGTTTTCTGGCATCTTCGTGATGTAGATTAATACATCTTTTTCTTCTCTATTTTTAATTTCTTTTTACCCATATTTTTTCGCCTCTCAGGCCCCGTTGTGGGTCGATGACCTGTGCCCAGGTGGGCTATTCCCGTAAAAAAAAAAAAACATTGTTCATTGAAAACTTCCTGACTACTGTGATATAGTAACTAATTTCAAGGTAGGAGGTCATTACTGATACTTTAGGCCTACTAGAATACATGGATTCCCGGGGTTACAAACGGATTCTGTTCCTGAGGACGTTCTTCAGTCTGATTTGTATGTAAGTCGGAACACATGGTATGTATGTACCGTACTTACAGAACAATGTTTAAAATCTCACTATATCATTGCCTAAGCCTTTGTATACATAGAAAATCACCTAATTTAAGACAAAGGAAGAAATACAATGACATAACGCAGTAAATGAAAGTAAAAAATGGGTTTAACCTCGCTCATATCAGCGGGCGTTCGTAAGTTGGGGAGCCCCCGTAGGTCAAGTTTTGCTTACACTCTCACACAAACTCCGTGATAATATTCCTTTCTCTTTTTTATTTGTATTTGTTTTTCATAATTTTGTATTACAGTAGTTTTGTATTTGTAATAGTAACACAAGACTCGTCACTGTAGCCACATCCCCTAGCCTTCCCCCTACCACTCCAGACCGAGGTGTGAGCTATGTTATGGTTATTTTTCAACTCGTAATACTGGGTAGATACATTCTTTTTGTAAAACATGCACACTCAATCTTCCATACAAAATGTGCAAAGAAATAGGATAAATAATTATCATAAGGTCAAAACATAAAAGGGAATAAACTTTCTTCATGTGTTGAGATGAGGAGGAAGCAGTTGTTCTGAGCGTGTGGTGTTTTGACAGCCGGGGCTGAAGGGTAAGGTTACTCAGTGCTTATTGATTTATCTGTCATATAGGGGGAGTTTAAGTTTTTCACTTATAAAATGTCACTTGGGAGAATATAACTTACATTGCTGGAATTCTTGTAAGTTAGTGGTTAATTTGATTATAAACATGCTATAATTTGCACTGGACATAAAAATTTTAATAATTATTTAGTACATTTGTGTACCGTACAGTACAGTACAGTACAGGTTTGCCCTTTGGACAATTATTTCTTTACTTTTTTCACAATATGTATGTAGGATGGTGTGTGCATGTAACTGAGTAAAAGTAAATGAAGAAACTTATGTATATCTACCCAAAAATACGAGTTGAAAAACTTAGACTAAAATTATTCGCTGTCTTCAAGGATTCCAGCAATGCAAGTTATATTCTGCAAATTTTAGAATGTGACATTTTATAAAAAAAAAAGATTAAAAGCCTAAAACTACCTTCACACTGTTTTGGGAATGCTTCTTAGGGAGGCTTCTTAGCCCAGAACTCCCAATTTTTTGGTTCGAATCTTCCGAAATCCGGGTCCAGGTCCAGATTTTTTTACTTAAACCAATACTACTCTGTATCTTATCGATATGTTAACTAAATTTCAGAATGACCAATAATTTTAATGTAAAAAATGCAAAAATATTCAAGAGCACAACTTTCTCTATGTTTACTCCACTGGAAACAAAGGTAAAAATAGAACAGATTATTGGCGGACGAGTCGGTCAGCTGATGCGAGCACCAAAACGTGTTTCTCTTAAGGCTGTCGTTAATAGAATTTGTACATGTTAATGGAACTGAAAGTTCATACGGGAACTCGTTAACTGAAATCTCGTAAATTGAACCGCTTGTTTATATTGTTTTAAGAAAACTATGGTTACAGGAGGAAAATACTGTAGACACAAAAGATTTTTTCCTAAATGTTCTCTGCTGAAATGGGGGGTGTATCTTATATATATGTAAAATATGGTAATTATATTTTAATTAGGGGCATTGTTAAATGTTAACTATATTTTTCAGTCATTCTTAAGACGTGAACGTTTGGAAGCACACACAGCTGTTCATGGAAATGAAGCTGGGAAGCCCTACCAGTGTAATCTGTGCTTGAGAAGGTTTTGCAGCAACACTGCCTTAAACACACATATAAAGTTTCACATTGGTAAGTCATATTTGTGGTTTAACTTTTGCATATGTTGTTTTCTAGTTAAGGTCGCAAATTGCATTTGGTACAAAGTAGTACAGTATTGAAATAAATTTCGAAAACTCTGTACAGAAATTTCTGTATCTTCCATGAATTTACCATTCATTAATATGCCTTTTACATGAAATATAAAAGTGATATATTTTTCATAATTTATTACCTCATACCTTGGGAAGTGGTGGTGGGGAGAACTATTTACTGTTGGCACACTGCTAGGTGAGGTAATAATATCCCTTTAATACTGTACAGCACATAATACCCTTCCAACAATAATTTAATATATGACACCCTGCCAACATTCCTTTAATATATGATACCCTGCCAACATAGCCCTCCTCCCACATGGGGGTTAGATTCCTCAAAAAGGATGTGTAGATGAATCCACGTTGGAGAAACTTAGTATCTTTTGAGATTAATAGGGATAAGGGAATGAAGCTTCATAAATTCTCTCATTATTAAGTATTTACAATGCCTAGATCTTTTTATATGCTGTACCCATAAATGAAAAGCCTTACCTGTGCAATTGCATATGAATCATAATAAAGTCAAGCATAAAGACATTGATATACTGTTTAAGGATTAGTTTCACAAAAAAACACAATAAAAAGAGCAAAAAGTAAATCAACACAGCCAGCACAGATCTTATGTGACAGCAGCTTACACGAGACTTCGGCTAAAGGGTGCGTGCCGTGAAACAAGAGGAAGATATGGAAGAGCGATAGATCTTCGAGAAAGTATGAGAACGCACACACTGTACTGCATATACAGTGTAGGGGCCCCCCAAATTCGCTGGGGTTAGGTTCTCAAAATGGCCGCGAATTGCCAAATCTGCAAATAACAATTGCTGACCGAGGGGGGTTACATTTTTACTTGTGTACAAAGAAATTTATATTTCCTTTATGTGTTTACCCTTAGGACAATTATTTCTTTTACCCGTATTATATATGTACACACACACACACATGCTATAAGAACAGCCCAGGCAATCTTACCTTTTTACACTGTCACTTTGTTGAAATGCATTGTAGTATAACCTTCTCCCCCACTTCTTAATTATTATACAGTATATCATATTTGTATCACTTATGTTATTGTCAATCAAGTGACCCATTCCCCAATTATGTAACTGTATACATTACTTTCAGCCTTCTGGCTGCTATGCTCTTTCAATGAACCATTAATTATTATTATTATTATTATTATTATTATTATTATTATTATTACAGTATTATTAAAATGCATACATATAAATAATAATGGGGAAATCCTCGAGTCAACTCTGTGCTTTGTTATTAAAGTTGAGTTGGGCGAATTGCCTACAGTGCCAGCACCAGCTGGGTTGATGCATAGATCAGACTTAAAGAATTTCTTTCATAGCCATCTGGTCAACCCAACATGAAGGATGTTGGTAATTGTGGTGTAATACTGTACAGTCAACCCTCGCTTTACGCGGTCCCACATTCCGCGTTTCCACGTTTACGCGGTACCCTGCCGAAACCGGAATGCTCACATTCCGTGGTGCGAGTACCCCTTTACGCGGAGAGTGTCTGGCTCGACGCTATTTTTAGATTCGCCCCGCCCGCCTGCTCCCGCCTCCGCCTGAGCAAGCAGCGCGGTAAGGTTGCGCAGTGCATGTCTCTGTTGCGTTATCAGTGACGTCATATGACATATCGGACTGTGATTGGCCATGCATCCCTACCTCCCTCCGCTGCTAGCTGTAATTGGTTTAAAGTAATATGACGTGCCCACCCGGGGGAGGGAGGGAGGGAGGGAGGAAAGACGACGTTTGACCTAGCCGAGGCAGTTTCATCCCTTTGCATCCATTGTTCTGTAAAATGGCTTCCGCCGGACCACCACCCCCAGAGAGAAACCTTTCCTTACCTGGACCCAGCCGCCCTAAGCCAAAGAAGACACGACGTTCCTTAAGCTACGAGGTGAAGTACAAGATCATCCAAGAGTTGGAGAAAGGAACAAGACAGGTTGATTTGGCGCGCCAGCATGGTGTGAACGAATCTACGATCCGGACGATAAAGAAGGATGCAGCCAAGATAAAGGAGCACATGAACATCACAAAGTCTACAGGTGCTTCTATGATCAAGTATTTCCACAACCAGGTGCTTCTCAAGACGGAAAAATTACTTGTGAGCTACTTGGTGTGTCAGGCGGGACGGAACATGGCGGTGGACACGCATTCTGTTAAGGAGTACGCACGTGAACTGTATGCTGCAGTGTCACGAAAGATGGGAATTACAGAGCCCAAACCCTTTAATGCTTCCTCTGGGTGGTTACAGAGGTTTAAGAAGAGGAACAAGATCACCAATATTAACATTGGTGGTGAAGAAGCTAGTGCTGACCGTGTTGCGGCTAGGGAATTTCCTCCGTTTTTACGTGAGATTATGGAGGAAGGACAGTACACCGACGACCAGGTGTTTAACATGGACGAATCTGGTCTTTTTTGGAAAAAGCTACCTTCCAAGACCTTCGTTGTAAAGAATGCCAGCAAGATTCGGGGCCGGAAGTTGCAGAAGGAGCGCATCACCGTCCTGTTTACCACCAATGCCTCCGGTACCTGTAAGCTCAAGTTATCGGTGATCCACACAGCACGCAAGCAGCACGCCTACAAGAGCATGGACATGACCAAGCTAAATGTCCACTGGCTGACCGCACTTAAGGCGTGGATGTTCTCTACACTGTCCCTCTACTGGTTTGATGACTGTTTCGTTCCCGATGTGAAGAAATTCTGTGAGCAACAGAATGTGCCATTCAATATTTTGTTGCTGCTGGACAACGCACCAGGACACTCGCCCCTACTGTTAGATCGTCACCCCAACGTAAAAGTGGTTTTCCTTCCTCCCAACTCTACGTCTATATTACAGCCCATGGACCAAGAGTTAATCTGTAATGTAAAAGCTGCATTCTCTACTAAAAAATTCAAGCTCCTGAATGACTACACCAACACCAGGGAAGAGTTGCGTAACCTGAGTGACACCACCACCGATAGCAAGAGCGAAGACGACGAGGATCAACAGTTGGCAGAGCAAAAAATAATTTTCAAACAATTCTGGAGAATATTCAACATCAAGAAAGCTGTGGACTTCTTGGTGGAGGCATGGGATCAGCTGTCTGTAGCACCTGTTCATCACGCATGGAGACATGTGTTGCAAGGCATTCCGGCCATTAGGCAGAGTCAATCTGTGACTGGTGAGGTTCAGACTGTTGCAGTAGCAGTGGATCGTGCCAGAGAAGCTGCGCAGAGTGTTACAGCTGCAGGCTTCTCCGAGACCACCAACGACGACATCCTGGAGGTGATAAGGGATCCTGATATGACTACCGACGAGATGGTAGATGATGATGACGTCAGTGAAGAGGCAGGTGGTGTGTCATCCCAAGAAGAACACCGCTTATCCCATAGTAATGTTAGGGGTGCCATCGAGTGTATCGAGAAAGTCAAGCTCCTCCTTTCCGACGACCCTGACACAAGCAGGTATGAAATCTTCACTACCCAGCTGTTGCAGACTATTGAGCCCTACATCAAGGTTTATCATGACAACATCAACACCAGCCGTCAGCAAAGCATAACAGAGTTCTTCGCCCACAGCCAGCCCAAGCCATTGATAGTGACAGAGGTAGAGACAGTGATGATGACTTTGAGGGATTTGTCAGGGAGGCCCTGACAAGTGTGGATGACAGTGATGGTGACTCACCTGAGGGCCAGTAGCCTGCCCTCTGCCTCGGAGCCAGCCTCCATTCCCGTACGCCGACCCATCTCTTCTACTAACGTAAGTGTTAACCCCAACCTTTATTTTTCCTAACTTAACCTTTATTTTTCCTAACCTAACCTCTTCTATATTAATTGTGTGTGCATACCATCATAAAGTTAAGATAATATTTTTACTACAACATAGTTGTGTGTCGTCAAAAAGTGGAGTTTGGGGGTCGACCCGGTCTCTATTTCAATTAATCCCATATGTTATGTTGTTCACTTTACGCGTTTCTCACTTTACGCGGGCCGCCGTGGGTTGAATTAACCGCGTAAAGTGAGGGTTGACTGTATATTTTTTCACACTATGTATTTAGGATGGTATGTGCATGTAAATGCGTAAAAAAAATGAAGGTTACTTATATCTACCCAAAAATACGAGTTGAAAAACCTTAACACCTCAAAGCTTGGCCCAGTAGCCTGGAGGTTAAAATGAGGAGCTAACCTAGCTACAATGACACGATTAATCACTGTTAAGCACTATTCTATCAGTAAACACTATTAATAACAGTAACTCCAGTGAAATATGGCAGGGAGTGAGGAGAGTTACAACTGTAAATGACGCGCTCACTTGCAGTCACTCACCCTTACCCGTATGGAAGATGCCAGGCGTAGCCAGGCATACGTATGGGAGAAAAACATATTTTGTAGTCTACTATGAAAATGGTACGGGCTCAGTGATAAACAAATTATATAAACCATGCATTTTCCTACGATAACATTATAAAAAAACATTGTATCATTACTAGAGTAAATGAATTAATATTCCCACAAACAAAAAATGACAATTGGTATAAGGAAACAGATTAACATTCACCATTCCTTGCTGGCTGTTTGTTTAGAGCCTGTTTTCCTCTCCCCTGCCACTGATGAATATCATGTTGAAAATGATGATGAAGGAAAGGGAGTTACAAGTTCTCTTCCTCTGCTTCGGAAGAGGAGGCAGAGGAGAGTGGAGGATCCTGGAGGGAGGTCCGAGCTGGGAGTAGCTGGAGGATGGTCGTCCATGTTGGAATCGGAGGCAGGAGGAGGAGGAGGTGCACGAAAAGGATGCTGAGGCTTTCTTGCAGGTATAGAAGGTGTAGGGCTTGGAGTGGACGAAGGCAAGAAGAACATAGAGGTTGGAGGCTGGGCACCCTGGCGCTTGAGCTCCTTTACTAGTTCCTTGTAAGGAATCAGGATCTGCTCCATCCCTCTCTTGAAGTTAACTGATCTCTCGATAGAGGGATCGATGTCGAGAAACATGTCTATGAGTGCTCTACTAGCCAGCAAGCACCTGTTGAGGCTTGTGATGGTTAAGGTGGGCACCTCCTCCACTTCACCTTCTTCCTCCTCGTCCTCATCCTCACGGCGCTGCTCCTCGACAAGCTCGGCCAGTTCTTCCTCAGTCAGCTCTTCCCCAGCATGACCCAGGAGCTCCGAACGATATGCTGCACATCCTCGTCGACTGTGGGGAAGCCAGCAAAGTCGTTCACCACCTCTGGTCACAAGGCCCTCCACCAGCAAGAATTAAACAGTGGGGTGTCAGGTCATCATGGTACTGCTGGATGAAAGAGGTGCAGTCTGCGATGGAGAACTTCTTCCACATTTCCCACACTGACGCGACACCATCTTGTGTGTCCTCGTCCAAGGCTTGCCGTATCCTGCTGAAGGTTTGGTCAGGTACTTGGCCTTGAAGACAGCAATGACTCCCTGGTCGAGTGGTTGGAGCAATGATGATGTGTTTTTGGGAAGAAATATCTACTCGACATTTTGTTTGCAACCTTGAGGGCCTCGAGGTGGTCAGGGCAGTTGTCGATCACGAGAAGGACCTTAAACTCCAGGCCTTTCTCCTGCAGGTAATCCTTGACCTCCTTCACTAAACAGTTGTGAAACCAATCAGTGAACAACACTGCCGTCATCCAGGCTTTCTTGTTGTGGTGGTAGAAAACTGGGAGGAGGTGCATGTCTTTGTTCTTGAGTGCATGCGGACGCTTGGTATGGTACAGCAGCATGGGCTTGATCATGTGCACTGCAGCGTTGCCACATAGCAGGAGAGAGACACAATCTTTGACCACCTTGAAGCCCCTGTGCACTCCTTTCCTCCTTGGAAATGAATGTCCTGGTTGGCATCTTCTTCCTCCACAAGCCAGCTTCGTCAGCATTAAAAACTTGCTCCAGCTTGTAGCCCTTTTCCCGGATAATCTCAGCGAAGATCACAGGATACTCCCTAGCTGCTACATCATCTGTTGAGGCTGACTCCCCAGTGATCCTCAAGTTGTGCTGGTTGTAGCGCTTCTTGAAATGCTCAAACCACCCCTTACTGGCACTAAATCCTTTTTTTGGGGTATCACTAGAACCACCAGCACTAGCACCATCTTCATCACCCACTTCACCTTCACCACCTTCAGCATGGAATTGGTCATACAGGATCTTGGCTTTCTCACGCATAAACTTCTGGTTGAGAGGGATGGGGTGGTGGTTAAAGTCCTCAATCCACATGTTAAGGGCTTTCTCCATCTTCTCCATAGCTGTATCCCTCACATTAGCAGTGACCTTGGCAGAAGAGGGGTCACTTAGGGCAACTGCATTACGAATTTCCTTCTCTTTCTTCTTAATTTAACGGACAGTTGATTCGTTAATGCCATACTCCCGGCCACACGCGGCAAAGCTTTGGCCACTCCTAAGTTTGTCCAGCAGTTGTATTTTCTCCACTTGGGTCATGACCTTCTTTTCTCTCTTCACTTGTTTGGGTGCCTTCCCATGGCTGGATGAAGGTGGTTGAGGGCATTTGGAGCCATAATAAACATGAGTAGCGCAGTTTTTATAAGAGGAGACTAGCACACGAGCGAGACGTACAAATATTTAACCCGGACTGAGGCACAGAGGGAGCGGGGCGTGCATGGGCCAGCCTCCTGGGATAAGAGAAACACCCGCAGACATTCTTTGGTACATCCAGGGTGTCATTCGCGAATAATAGAGAGCCACAAAATAAAAATCCGCGAACTTGGGGGGGGCCCCTGTACTTGAGTTTTCTGTGTTCGGCAATTAATTGGTTGCATTTATTTTTGTGCATCCAGTATAAACTAATCCGTGAATGAGGGCTACTATATTAATTTTGAGAACATTCAACAATTGATGTGTGAGGATACCCTATAATTTTGATGTATTACGACTAACACTTACATGTTAACTCCACAGAAGGCAGTAAAGGCTATGACTGTCCAATTTGCAGAGAAGGGTTCTTCTCTGTGGTTGGTCTGAAGGCCCATGTGTCCACACACTGTGTCAATGGACAGTATGAATGTCCAACATGTAACAAGGTAAGATAGTTATGTTTTTGTGTCCTTTGATCATCATATTAGAGTATCTTAGTACCCCTCTACTATTAAGTATGAGTTGATTATGATACAGAAATAAGGAAAAGTTATGGTAGTGAAGGAAGTGTTGGAGAGAGCACTGATAATGGTTTGTTTAGCTGGGTTGGACTTTTTGAGAGAATGGGAAGTAAAAAACTAAGAAAATAAAGTATACAAGTGAAGGACGGCTGGTAGGAGGTAGTAGGCAGCTACCAAACAGGGAGGTACTACTGCCTGGGAAGATATTGGAAGCATAATGTGATGTCTAATGGTAGACCCTGCTGCCATATGGCATCACGAAAATTGTGACCAAGTCCCAGGCTGCTGATCTGACTTTCTGCCTCATTTACAGACATTTACAGGGTCTCAATTGTTTCTCTTACATTGATAGCACAACATACATTATTGTTTTGCACTCTTGACCTTTTCTTTTCTTTTTCATTTGGTATTTATTTATGTCTTTATTATTATTATTATTATTATTATTATTATTAGTATTAGTATTATTATTTTCATTTTTGTTTTTGTTTTTATTTTTATTATTATTATTATTATTTTTATTTTTATTTTTATTATTTTTATTATTTTTATTTTTATTTTTATTTTTATTTTTATTATTGTTATTGTTATTGGATTTTTGCCCCCCAGGCCTCGATGTAGGTTAGTGACCTGTGCCCTGGTGGGCTAATCCCTGTAAAAAAAAAAAAAAAAAGGGAGAGAGGACAGAAAAAGGGCTGGAAAAATGTTGTGAAAGATGTATTAGAAGTTATTACACTTAAATGGACAGAGACCAAACCATCAAGTAATTTTTGAGGAAGTATGTGCTGCTTTTCAGTGATACTGTACATGTACAGGCTTGTGTGAAACAACGCTGGAAAACTGGTGCTTAGGGTTTGTTGTGAAAGAGATACCGTATATCTCGGCCTATAAGGCATCGGGGTGCATAAGACGGCCCCCCCAAATTTCCATTTAAAAAGTAGTTTTTGAGCTCTATTCGCTGTATAAGACCAGTACCCCAAATGTGACACTTACCCACTGACTCAGTAGTCCTCTACCAACCATCCTTGGTTTTTTAAAATAAGGCCAATTCACTTCAAGTAATGTCATCAAATATTACCCGCTGGTGTAGTGTAAACACTAGTGACATCACTGAAGCGTCTGCTATTTACCGGTAACTGGAACTAATGGCGGTGTCTTGTAAAATTTTTCCATTTACTTGAAATGGATTTACCGATTTATTTGTTTATTTATTTATTTATAATATTCTGTAACATATTAAACACACTGCAAGTATTTTCTTTAATTTATATGCTTGCTTCACACGAGACGATCGGTGGTGGGAGTGTTACCTCGTCTCGGTGGTGGGACTGTGTTCCCACTGTTTACTGTACTGTACTTTTTTTTTAGCAAGTTCTTTTTTGTTATATTTTTTACTAAAAGTGTTATTTTATGTGGATAAAAATGTTACAATGGACTTAAAACTTTAAAAAATCATCTGAGCATGCTTGAAAACATACATATCGACACCAAGATCACCCAGATTGACCAACTACATCAATTTCTATAAGAAAAATCAACTTTTGAAGGTCAATATGGCGGTCATCTTGAAAAATGGTCGCCATCTTGGATTTTTAAATGGCCAATCAGGCAGACTTGACTAGTAACCATTAGAGAATTACCATGCCAAATTTGGTGCTTGTACCACCATTTTCATGATTCTCTTGAAAAATTGCATTTAGCTGCCCCACTAATGTCACCACTCCCATCTCAACATGACACTCATATACTGAAATATTGTATTTCATACTACATATGACTTTACAAAAAGAAATGTCCACGTCTGGTTAAATAACTCTTGTAGATATAATACCAGTTGAATAAACGAAACTAAAAAACTGGAGATTGTAATTACAGTGAAGCCTTGACAACTCCATTATGAAGTTAGGGATTAGATGACGCCAAATTCAGTCACCTTAATGCACTTTAAGAGAGAGGAGTCACCGTGCCAGGGCTTAATATTATCCTGGACCCTAGAGGTTGATGACGTATTCAGTGTCAGGGGCAGAAATACATCGATGTACACAGCACCTGATCCCAATCAACTCCAGTATAGGTGTTAATAATGTAGAGGTGACCAGGTGTGTTGCACGTTGGTAGTGTTGGATGGTGATGCAGGAAAGAGGTAGTGTGTTGAGGGTGGTGTGTGGTTATGACTCACTCCCACAACCCCCCCACACCACTCAAACATCCTCACAACTGTACCACAAAACCCCCACACTACTCTTACAGCATCCTCACAACACTACCACAACCCCCCCACACCACTGACACATCCTCACAACTGTACCACAAAACCCCCACACTACTTACACATCCTCACAACACTACCACAACCTCCCACACCACTTACACATCCTCACAACACTACCACAATCCCCCACACCACTCACACATCCTCACTACCACAATCCCCCACACCACTCACACATCCTCACACACTACCACAACCCACACCACTCACACATCCTCACAACACTACCACAATCCCCCACACCACTCACACATCCTCACAACACTACCACAACCTCACGCACCACTCACACATCCTCACAACACTACCACAATCACAACACTACCATAATAAAATTAATCATTTCTAGTGTGGTCGACTTCCTACACAAAGACAGGCTATAAATAGCCATCTTATCTCAACCTCCTTCCTTCCCCCTCCATCCCTCTGTTCTCAGAGAGGTCTTGGTAAATAACTTTTGTTTGTTTATTTTCATTGTTTGTCTAATTTATCATGTTGTATCAAAGTAATATTACTAAAAGTTTTAGGCAGCTACCAAACAGGGAGATACTACCGCCTGGGAAGATATTGGAAGCATAATGTACAGTATTGTCTAATGGTAGACCCTACTTCCATATGGCATCACGAAAATTGTGACCAAGTCTTAGGTTGCTGATTTATCTTTCTGCCTCATTTACACACAATTGCAGAGTTTCAATTGTTTCTCTTCCTTTGACAACACAACATACATACAATATAATGTTTCTCACCTTTGATCTTTTTTCCATTTATTTATGGTTGGTTATTTAAAATAATGCCAATTCACTTCAAGTATTGGCATCAAATTTTACCGGCTGGTGTACAGTAGTGACTCACTTAAGCATCAATTATTTAACTGGAACTAATGTTGATGTGAGTAAAATATTTCCATTTACTTGAAATATATTTGCCAATTTATTTGTTTATTTATTTATTTATAATATACTGTAATACATTAAACACACTGCAAGTATTTTCTTTAATTTATATACTTGTTGGTCAACTTCACCTGGTAGGTGAAGTTGACCAGAAATTTATGGTGATCATTAAGGACCAAACTCGAATCCATGACGTGACTTCTGTTCATCATTCTCATCCTAAATTTACCACTGTCGGTAGTTTCAAGAATTAACTCAGTCATTTACTGAATAGTCTTTGTAAAAAAATAAATTTTAAATTAATTATTTATAGGAGATAAGTATTATGATCAGTAAATATACAGATATGCATTACTGACCACCTCCGAACACAAGGACGGCTTAAAATAGCCACAGGCGGTCACAGTCAAGGTCACTTTCCCTTTCTTGTCACTGGCAAATGGGGGGGGGGGGTGGTGATGATAGCAACTGTGTTTATTACCGGGGTATATTGTTGTTTTACGGTATGTTAGACTGGTTTATAATACATTTTTATTATTTTAATATACCGGTAATCTTCATTTTAATCCAGTTTCCCAAACGTAAGTATTAGTATAAAATAATTAGTGGTAGGACCTTGTCAGTGGTTTACCATGTTTCCATCATCACTCTTGACACGCTAAACCGCAATATTTAAGAGGTAAGAATTTTATCTCTGGTGCTTAAGACGACCCCCTAACTTTGGGCTGATTTTTTTTTTTTTTCAAATTCCGTCTTGTAGGCCGAGATATACGGTATACCATTGTAGAATACATTTGTTGCAGTAGTAAAAATAAATGAAGACTAAATGTGTTGTGGACATTCATTTGTTTCTGACCACCCTGTATTAACCAGGTCAAGTCTTGAAAGAGTAAAGAAAAGAAAATTATCGGTTTACTAATTTGGTGTGTTTTACAAACATAAATTTTATTTCTGCCCAACTTACATATACTGTACAGGTATACCTCTGGCACAAAGTGAACATGTTCACAAAATTCACTTCATTCTCAGAAACTTACTTGTCAGAGGTAGTTTAAACATGGAGTAAATGGGAATAAGTTCCAATCTTTGTTATTCTGTATTTTGCATACTGTACACAAAAAATTGAAATAAACTGCTAGAATAAACAATAAAAATGATACATAGCACATCGTAAAATACAGTAGTACTGTATTAATTTTATGTACAAAAAATAGCTCCTTCCATCCTCTGGGCGATGCCATTCCAAGAGTGGGTGACACAGTTCAACCAGGCAGCCACCCAACTTACTCAGAGAGTGTGTGTGGCTACTGCACTGTGTGTATGCTGTGATGTCACATTGGGGAAGCTAGTGTGTGACTGGACTGGCAACACAGACACAGGTGTTATAAGAGAAAATAGTTATTTTAAGCTAAGCTTAAATTGAATTAAGTAAATTTAACTTGACAATCAATGGCGAAGAGGCCGATGTAAACTTACTGCAGAGATGTGTGTGAGATGTGGTGGATGGATGATTTGGACACAGGACATTTGGGTCAAGGGCCATAACCCCCGGATGTTTAGGCCATGGTGGTTAAGATGTTTGAACCATAGGTCAAAGTAGTCCTAAGAAATACAAAATCGATTAAATTCAATATACAGTCGTGCGCCGGTTAACGTCCTAGATACGTTCTTGGAAACGTGACGTTAACCGAAATGGACGTTGTTCGGTCATCACATAAACTTTTTTTTTATACTTAGGTGTATGTGGAATACTATAT